TTCCTGGAATGGAAAGATCTGAGGGTTGGCCCGAGGCAAAGAATTGGTGGACCTTGTCATGGAAGGAAGTAGAGTCGCCGTTGGGGATGGTGATGACGGTGGCGTCCCTTAACCTAACGGTTCCCATCTGACCCCCCCCTCCGGGCAGAGACGATATGCTCCTTCGCCCCACAGTTGCGCGGAAAAGAAGCGAGATGTCAACCTCGTCATAGCTAAATTCAACCAAAGACTACCAGCCAAGGAAAATAACCAAACAACGAAGATCGTGTACGATGTTGGGGTATTTGTGTTGTGCATGAACGACTCTATTCTGCTGTGTGGGATATTTCCCCGGCATTGTGAAGGCGTGTTTCCAAGTCTGTGACCGTCAGATGAAGACAGCTTGGGCGCCTGTGTTTGGATAATAAATCACTCTGTGTTTCTCTACCCAATCCTCCGTCACATACGCCAGCCACAGCAAGCATACAACAGCCGTTGTCGTGCTGTTAGGTCTTGAGCCGCGCGCGGTAGGGAAACTGGCACGAGTCACATGGCGCCCGCAGCTCCCATCACGAATCCATTGCAAAGTGGGTTTGTGCCTTTTGATGTTGATGATGCGAGCTTCTCTGGATGGGTTGTTGGTAAACTCGTGGCTTGTAGAGAGAAGGTTGTTGGATAGTTGAGACTTGGTCTTATTAGTTGGTTTGGAATGGGAGTGGGCAAGGTGAGGGCGTGCAGCACCCCTATCTGCCCGATTGCAATACCCCGACGACCCGATCACGAATCACATCACACTATCCCGATTCCCCGATCACGGGTAGTAGTTGTACTCTTCCTACGAGTCACAAATACATCGGAGGAAAGCACAAACCACCAACAGATTGCCCGACAGATACTTATACGAATGTTCCACAGCGGAACCTGCAGAACTGGAGTAACCTTGCAACGACAGTCCCGCTAGTCAAGTCGTCCAATCAGATATACCCCGCCATTGAGTCGATACACCTGCCGCTACCACGAACACCCCCCCTAGGGGCTGTTGTATCCTTCAGACCAATAATTCTTTGACGAATAACAACGACCTCCGACTTCTACTTCTCGCTCAAGCCAAGCACAAAGTTACGGTGAACTTCGAAAAGCTCTCGCGGCAAAGCTTTCGTGAGAATGTCTGCATGTTGCTCCTTACTGCTAACATGCGAGATCTTGATCCTACCCTCCTCAGTCAAGCTCCGAAGAAAGTGGTGCCTTACGTCGATGTGCTTACGTCTCCCCGAGCTAAGCGGATTATCAGCAAGCGCAATCGCTCCCTCGTTGTCCTCTAGTACCTTAATCTCACGAGACTTCTCACTAGGCCTCAAGAACTGAAGCATTCCGTCTTCAAACAGAGCCTCCTTTACACCATCACCCATCGCTAGGTACTCTGCTTCCGAAGTCGACTGAGCGACGCATTTCTGCGTCCTGGAAGTCCAAACGACAAGCATTCCGGCCACAAAAACCAACGCTCCAGAAACGGATCTACGGTCAGTGGCCTTGCTGGCAAAGTCGGCATCTACGTACACCAAAGTCCCTACGTCTACCGAACTATCCCGCTTGAAGTTTAGACTAAGATGTGCCGTGCCCAGAAGATAATTCAGGATCTTCTGAGCTGCCTTCCAGTGGCTTAACTTCGGCTCGTGGGAGTGTCTTGCCACAGCCCGCACAACATTAGAAATGTCGGGTCTCGTCTGGCTGGCGATCCACATTGCGCATCCCACCACCTCACGGAATGGCACATCTCCCGCCTCCTCATTCTCCATCACGGACCTGTTGACAACAGTGGGGGAAGCGGGGATCGAGCTGGTGCGAACGACATTGAATCTCTCGAGGACACTCCTTATGTAACTCTCTTGAGAAATCTCAATCGTGCCAGCCTCACGGTCGCGCCTAAAAGCGCAACCAAGAAAGAACTTGACCTCACCCAAATTCTTCGTGGGAAGAGAATCACCAAGCGCTGCTACCACCGTCTCGGCAAGACTCTTAGAACCTGCATACAGAATATCATCCACATGGATCGCGACCATCCCCATGACCTCGTCTCCCATCATGAAACGTAATACACAGGGGTCTGACAGAGACTGCTCGAAACCAATCCTCTTCAGGTCCGACACAAGCCTCATGTAGAATGTCCTAGATGCCTGCTTCAATCCGTACAAACTCTTGTTCAAACGGACGACTTTTCCTGACATCGTACCACAGCCAGGAGGCAACTTCATGAACACCGCGTGATCCAACTTCGTCTGAACAAAGGCTTGCTCAATGTCCAGGTGGAGTAATTCCAAATTATACTTGCACGCCAATGCCACGAGCAACCGAATCGATGCGGCATTTGCAGTAGGCGAGAAAGTCAAAAGATAATCGATCCCGTGCTTTTGCTTAAACCCCTTTGCCACAAGCCTAGCCTTGGCCTTGACTATCTTCCCTGTTTCGTCTGCCTTCCATTTGAAAACCCAACGAGCGTCAATCACGTTACAGCCTATCGGGACTTTTACTGCCAACGAAAATGTTCCCGCTCTGACCAAGCCCTCAAATTCTGCAGACATGGCTACATCCCAAACCTCGGCATGCTTCGACTGCCTGGCCTCTTGATAGCTATCAGGCTCAGGTTGTACGTCCTGAATGTGCTCTTTCGGCAACTGTGCCTGACCTGCTTTCTGTTCCGCTACGAGTGTATAGGTAATTTCTGATGCAGTGAGAGGTCCTAAGGCGGCCACAAGGCCTGACGGAGTCTGCTGGTTAACTGCACGGGTTTGCGTGCGAGTCCTACCTACTCTGACTTGATCATTCTCACGCGGGGCAGTATTAAAATCAGCAAGCTCAACAACGTGCCGGGGCCGACGAGTGGCTGGAGGAGCTACCTCTTGCCCTCCCGGCCCTACTGCCTCATTATCCTGCCCTCCCACAGACTCATCACCCACCGACTCTGCCCCTCCCTGATCTACAGGCTCATCACCCACCGATTCTGCCCCTCCCAGCTCCTGGTCATCAACAGAATCTTGCGAAGACACGGAGGGAGCGTGGGAGTTAGTCGCGGACGACACAGAGGGGGATTGGCCTAAGCTACCAGCATCAACACTGAAAACCTCATCAACTGCACCGGAGGGGGGAGCGCTAGGCTGCAAACGAATGTGGGGCTTCCCTCTACCCATGAGCGGCCACACTTCAGCTTCTACATCATCGTCATTTTCCTCCCCTCCCTCCTCTGCTACCTCTTGCTCTACCGGCAGCGGTGGTTGCGGCGGAGGGAGTTCAGACGGCAGCGCTTCCCACGTCACATCTCTAGTCTCCTGAATGATCCCACCCCTCGTCCACACTCTCCCGGTGTTTGCCGTCGGGGTTGGGTTTTCGTCGCTTGGCAACGACGT